GAAACCAGAGCTTAATTGACCCAAATAAACATTTTAACGGATGAAATGGGATTGCAGAAGGTAGTTGTCATAGGCCTCCGGTCGACAGAGCACGAAGTTTCAGGGAGTGGATAGGATTACAATTGAATACCATCCTAATAACTAATAATCGTGCAATCATCCTTTGAAGTTAAACAGAATAATTGTTAAAACGAGTGCAATGAAAGTAATCCTTGAAAATAGTAAGTGAGGCAGTCTTATTACTCTTCAATTACGATCAGAGTAAAAGCTAAAAATAATACCGGAACAATGCAACTAAACGCTGGAATTGCACAAAAATTATTGTAAAATTATTTCCGTATTTCTACAGCCAAACTTAAAGACACACAACACATTGCACCAGTACAATAAGGATACAGCATAGAACAAACAAGATATAATTCTCCTAAAAGGACAAAAGAAAAGAAAGGACAAATATTGCAAATCACTAAAACTATTAATTAGACAATCAGCCTGATACAGCCCACGAGACAGCCTCTTTTGTTTACGGATAAAAATTGCTGAGTTCTCATTTATCATACGACAGACAGACATATAGACAGACATACAGAAAATCACACACACACACACACACGAGTGTATGAACAGTCACCAAATGCATTTGTGTTACAGAAATGAGCCTGACTTGATGCTGGCTTGGCGATGGTCTTGTAACTACGTACAGGTCGGAGGGGGTCTGTCAAGTGACGCAACCGACAAGAAAGCTCAGCACTTTTCCAGCTCTACCGGAACCAAGAATTTTGGCAATCCGCAGTCGTCTTGTGGCGAGATCGAGTTAAACTAACTTCTTCATTGCACACCTTCTGCTCAGCATGCATCAATTTCCAGGCAAAACGGGCACCTCTCAATTGACATGGGAAGAGGATCGGGTGCAAAAGGGTCGTTGGTACTCACGAAGTCGCGGTCATCCTCAAGCAGACTCACGAGGCCAGGACATGCCATTTTCTGTCGAGGGAATGCCCCCGAATTCGGCCGTGCACGCGTCGGTTTCGCTCTGGACGACGTACTTCTCACGTTTACAGTCGTAAACCTGCGAACTGTTTAAAGGTCTTAAATAGAAAATAAAGAAAAAGTTTTAATGTTAAAATGGTATCCGGTTAAATGTCATCTCCCCTATTGATCAACTAAGACATTTATAGTCGGCGTCATTATGCCTTCAAAGTATCATTAACTTGATCGACATTAGTCGCTT